GCGAGGATGGAATTACAGTGGAGCTTCTGAAAGCGGGTGGAAGACCGGTACTTGAAGTCCTTCAGAAGCTCTTTAATTCCGTCCTCCATGGTGGCATTACACTGGAGGCGTGGAGCAGAAGTGCGGTGGTCTTGTTCTTCAAGAAAGGTGATAACGCTCTCTTGAAGAACTACAGACCGATTTCCCTTCTGAGCCGCGTCTACGTGCTGTTTTCGAGAGTCATTACGAATCGTCTCGCGCGCAGACTTGACGACTTCCAGCCTCCCGAACAAGCCGGTTTCCGAAAGGGCTTTAGCACCATAGACCACATACATACCCTTCGGCAAGTTGTACAGAAGTCCGAAGAGTACAATTTGCCACTATGTCTGGCGTATGTGGACTATGAGAAAGCCTTTGATTCCGTCGAAATTTGGGCGGTGCTGCAGTCCCTTCAGCGGTGCCAAGTTGACTGTCGGTATATCGAAGTGTTGAAGTGCTTGTACAGTAGGGCTACGATGGCTATCCGAGTACAGAACCAGAGTACGAAACCTATCCAATTGCAGAGAGGTGTAAGACAGGGTGACGTCATTTCCCCGAAACTCTTCACCGCTGCATTGGAAGACGTTTTCAAGCTTCTGGACTGGAAAGGATACGGTATCAACATCAATGGCGAGTACATCACTCACCTTCGATTTGCCGACGATATAGTCCTTATGGCAGAATCGCTGGAGGACCTAAGCACTATGCTCAATGACCTCAATAGTGTTTCCCAACGGATAGGTCTTAAGATGAACATGGACAAAACTAAGATCATGTTTAATGTCCATGTCACACCTATGCCGATAGTTGTTGGGAACACTAAGCTCGAAGTTGTTGACGAGTATGTTTACCTGGGACAAATAGTCCGACTGGGTAAGTCCAACTTCGACCGAGAGGTCAATCGACGGATTCAACTCGGCTGGGCAGCGTTCGGGAAGCTACGACACATCTTCTCGTCAGACATACCTCAAAACCTTAAAACGAAATTGTACAACCAGTGCGTGTTGCCAGTGATGACTTACGGAACTGAGACGTGGTCCTTCACTGCTGGCCGTATGAGGAAGCTCAAGGTCGCTCAGCGAGCTATGGAGAGGGCTATGCTCGGAGTTTCTCTGCGTGATAAACTTAGGAATGAAGATATCCGCAGTAGAACCAGAGTGACCGACATAGCCCAACGGATTAGTAAGCTGAAGTGGCAGTGGGCCGGCCATATAGCTCGAAGAACCGACAACCGATGGGGAAGAAAGGTTCTCGAGTGGCAGCCTCGTACCGGTAGGCGAAGTGTAGGGCGTCCCCCCACGAGATGGAGTGACGACCTGGTAAGACATGCAGGAAGTCGATGGATGCAGGTGGCTCAGGACCGTGTTTTGTGGCATTCTTTGGGGGAGGCCTATGTTCAGCAGTGGACTTGTGAAGGGCTGTAATGATGATGATGATGAATGAAAAAAATTAAGTCAACATTTCATGAATTAAGTATATTCTCTTATACTTTCTAGACTACCATATTTAACATTTCTAAACAGCCACCTTTCTCCTGATATTTCTGGAACTATGCCTTCTTATTACAAAACATTGATTTCTGTTAGTTTATAGTCTCGAGTTTTATCTACGGTTTAAAAATATTGTAACAAATATGTTTTAGCTCTTAGTTCAAGCTTATCTGTATTATTAAACTTAAGCTTATTGGTGATGACTTTATTTTCAGAGGTGGATTAAAAAAACGACAAAATCGTAATTTTACTTAATAATATTTGAAAAGCGAAATTGAAAATTAATTTAAAAACATGAAAATTTGGTATCAAAAATTGAAAGTATTATTAGTTTTACAACTTTTGATATGAAATTTTCTTGTAAATTTCAATTTTTACTCCCTCCTTTGTCTTTCCATTTTACATTAGCTTTAAATATTTGATATTTTTATTTTCTGAAAAACTATTGTAATCCTTAAACGATAGCAAAACCTTTGTAGTTATGGTTTTTTATTTCGCGCGCAAATATCATATCAATTCATTATCAATATCATATCATTCAAGATCGTGAGCCGTGATGATTCTAGAGATAATTATCCTGGTGATCCTGATCAGGATTCTAGGAAAAAGTTATTACATTATTGTAATGCCATCGGTCCTTGATACGAGTTTAAATATTCAAGTTAATTGGCTGTTTACAAGTTGGTGAAAATTACATTAGGATTCCGTTATATAGACAGATAGATAGATACACGCGAAGCTAATAGAAGTGTGTTAAAAAGTGTGTCTACTGATCCACAGTCAAATTACTACAATAGTAACTGGGACATTCGCAGTGTATAAGCCGCACGCAATGGACAACGCACTGTTTCTAATCGATAAATATTATAGTAGCCGCATGATATTCTTTCTATAAGCAGTAAATTTCACAGTACGTGAGCAACCTGATGAAATTGTTAAGGGCAATTTTAAGTGTTGTTTACCACGTGATTGGCGGTGAAGGCAAACATACAAATAGTGAGGAAACCTGCATGTCTCAAAAATAAAAAATAAAATTGAGACATATGAAGCCAGCACAATGCGTGTTGGTTTGCAACACTGCGCACATTTCCTTGTCCTTAAAAGCTTTAAAAGCTTCTCATAAATAAGTGGAGGCCTGTGCCCGGCGGTGGGACATATATTTACATTACTTCGGAAGAATGATACTACGTAGCCTTAAATTATTTTGTCTAATATGGTCAATTTTAAACCGTTATAGTTCAGTGGCTAAATAAGCAAACGCAGTAAATTTCTAAATACGCGAGCAACGCAATAATATTGTCATATGCATTTTAAGTATATAATTTAAAAGCTTGACAGAGAAGGAAAACGGTGAGGAATCCTGCATGTCCATGAAATTAAAAATTTCGAAAGTATGTGAAGTACGCACTATACTAGCTAGCTAGGCGTGCATTTTCTTACCCTAAAATCTTCTAAGAAATGAAAAGAGGCCTGTGCTAGACCCATGTCTAAGTGTGTAGACCGACTTAATTTTAAACCATGTTTAAGAGATGAAATCAAGATTAGTGCATCTTTATTTTAATAACGTGGATGTAGTTAAGTTCCTTTTAACATACATACAGGTACTTCTTATTCTTATTTTTTATACTATATAAATCGTTCAAGAATTTTTTAATTACTTCGCACCAACGAACAGTTACTACTAACACACCATGATAACTTCGCGAGTACTACATCTTGATTAAAAATAATTTACGCATTTCCATCAGATTTAAAAATAAGTTAAAATAAGCAATAAAATCCGTAAAACTATTTATTCTTAATTTGGTATAGAGATAGAGAGAGAGATATTTAATTATATTTTTTTCTTTTTTATTTTTATATGACAATAATGAATTTGTACCAATATAAAAATAATTATTCATCTGTATTATAATAATTTAAATATTTCTCTCAATTGTTTATTAAGAAAAATGTTTTGAAATGCAACAGAAATTTCTTATGTATTAGGAAATTAAAAAAATACTTTTAACAATTTTTGATATACCATTTTATTTTCAATTAATTGATACCCTGCCCCATGTCCTGTCACTTAGCGTTCTATGTCCCCGTCCTTCTTCTTTGACTCTCAAAAGTCCCTTTGTTCCGTACCGATGTCAGAATTATACCCTCATCTGCGTTACTATGAAAGTAAACGAGAAAAGGTTAACTTGGTACAACAAAATTTGTAAGTTCGGGTCATCCGTCAATATTGATATAGAGCAGGGTATTACATTTTGTTTGTTTTTGTTGTCTTTATTTAGGCGTAGTATTAGTTTGAATATTTATATATAGACACAATCGCATGATGACAAACGTTTTACGTGTTGAAGTCATATGCTACATATTAAAGCTCCAACACGAATAGGTCGACTCAACTGTGGAAGGATTCCGTTATCACAGAAAAAATGTAAAATGCTGCTGTGTTTCTTATGGTGAGTGATGTGAACATAGACGTCTATTGAGTGATAACGAAGCATATCATGTTAGTCTTTAGGCACAGTCTAACTATTACTAACAGTTGGTCATCGAAAGTCTAGACGGGGCATTCGTACGGTGCGGTGCGAGTGAGACGCGAGCTAAGCACTTCCCGCGGAACTGTCGGCTAGGTTCGTCCTGTCACGCAAATAAATTAAAATGCCTTGGCAATTGAAAATGCAAAAGAAACTTTGGGTGAAACTTATTTAAAGATAAGGAATAGTTTCATCAGTTTTCACATACACATTAATTTGCTTGTTTATTAATTTATTGTTTTCCGACAACATCAAACGCGATGACTGTATGTTCTTCTCAGGCTGTTCTTTAGAGGTGTTATTTAACATTTCTACACTTTGTCACGCATAGCGATGCTCAATAGGAGAATTGGAGATCACAGTAAAAGAAGTCTATTTCACACGACGTGCATTATTTCTGTCATAAAATCCACTATCGAGTTGATATGTATTTTTTCTTAAGCTACGCTTCGTTATATAGTGGTTAATAAAGATTATTGCTTTCAACTTTGTTCACAATACACATTATTAAGTTTATTTTTTTTTTCAATATTTTGACGGCTCCGTGGCGCAGTGGCTTAGCAATGAGTTGCTGCGCTGGGGGCCGCGGGTTCGAATTCCGCATGGAACAAGTATTTGTATGGCCTACAAAAAATTGTTCCGGGTCTGGATATTTGTTCTTGTGCAATTTGTGTTGGGGGTCATTGTAGAAGCGTGCTCATCGCGACCCCTGCCAGCCCTTTTCAGGGCTGCAATTCTACTTAGCTGCGCACCCATGCCAACGAGGGTTAGGGCGTCCCCCCAAGGCGACGCACACCAACTCGTCCCCGTTGGTGTGGAATGCAGCGCGCAAAGCGGCGATGGGGACCGCCACCCGTCACGCACAGCCCGACACGGCGGAAGGTGGAGGACAGAGTGCAGAGTTGGCACGTGGAATGTTAGAGGAGGCATGCGAGATAAGACGAATGAGTTGATCGAAATAATGAAAGAAAGAGAATTAGATGTCGTGTGTATGTCGGAGACCAAACGGAAGGGCAGTGGTACTGAAGAGCTCCCTGGCGGGGCGTTAGCTCTATTGTCCGGAGTCCCGGAGAGCGAGAACGCCTGCCAGGGAGTGGGGGTGCTGCTGTCTTCTCGGTTGGTCGATGTTATGACTGAATATAAGGTTGTGAACTCAAGACTTCTCTGGGTTCGCTTTAAATTGGGACTCACGAAGTTATTCCTTTTGGCTGTTTATGCGCCGGTAGCTTCGTCGTCCAGGGCTGAGCTGGAGGAGTTTTGGGAGAATGTAAGAGAAGTTCTAGATTTGGATAGGGGAAACGAAAGAATTGTTGTATGTGGTGATTTGAATGGATGGGTTGGTACCGCTCGACCAGGGTACGAGTCGGTACTTGGAAAGTTTGGCGATAAAAGGGTTAATGATGCTGGCAAGCTTATACTGGCGGTGTGCAAGGAAAAGGGTCTTCTTGTGACAAACACTATGTTTAATCGCAAGAAAATCCATATGTATATTAGAGAACGAAAGAATGAGAGAAGTATGATCGATTTGTTCCTGGTGGATGACCGACTGCGAAAACAGGTGATGGATACGCGAGTGTTCAGGGGTGCTGACCTGGGAACGGATCACTATCTAGTGATTACTAGATTTAGGGGTCTGTTCGCGGGTTGGCGCTACCGGACGGCAGTAACAGAACCACAGTCGGTCTGTCGCATCCGAAGCTGGAAGCTTCAGGAAGCGGATACTAGGGACAAATATCATGCGAGGGTAGCCGAAAAGCTTGACACCATCGATGGCAGAAACGAATGTGTAGAAAGAACATGGCGGAACCTTAGGGATGGAATGGTAAGTGCAGCGGAAGAAGTGTGTGGAACAATAAAAAGAGGCAGTAGTAAAAGAAGAGATGCATGGTGGAATGATAAAGTGAAAGAAGCTGTAAAGAAGAAGAAGAAAGCATGGTTAGACTACTTGGCCTCTAGTAATGATAAGGATATGAGAGAGAAGATGAAAGAAAGATATAGGCTGCAGAAAGTTCACACGAAAGCACTGATTGAGGAAGTGCGTGAAAGGTGTAGAATGGAAACAGACGAAAGGTTGTCGCACAACTTTAAGGAGAACTCCAAACTCTTCTGGAAAGAGGTTGGAAGGACCCGAAGTGGTGCGACGGCCTTGAGAATGAACAAAGTGCTTTCGAGAACTAATGACGTCCTCTCAGAAAAATCGGACGTCATGCAGCGATGGAGCGAATTTTATAGAGAAATTTATGCGTGTGATGATCTTAGTGAGGGATCCGGGGATGACGCCGTGACTGGTACGCCAGACCCGGACCTCGATGACACTGAGGTCATCAATATGAAAGAGATTTAACGTGCGATTCGAAGTTTGAAATGTGGTAAAGCTGCGGGACTAGACAGAGTTACTGCTAAAATGGTCAAGTATGGTGGGCCTCGCGTCTGGGACAGCTTTCATCTGCTGTGCAATTTGTGCTGGCGGACGGGGGATGTCCCGGATGATTGGCGATCCGCAGTCATTGTGCCTTTATATAAAGGTAAAGGTTCACATTTTGACTGCGGGTGCTATCGGGCGATCAGCTTGACCAGTTTAGCAAGTAAAGTTTACTCGAAGGTTTTGACACGTAGGATGCAAGAGAAATCGGAAAGATTTCTATGGGAGGCACAATGCGGATTTAGACCTGGAAGAGGATGCACGGATCAAATGTTTTCTCTCCGCATGATCACGGAGAAGCTTCTGGCTGTTAACCAGAAGATTTTCTGTGCTTTTGTGGATCTTGAGAAAGCATTTGATAAGGTTGTAAGGAAGAAAATGTGGGAACTGTTGCCGGGGTATGGTGTGGATGGTCGATTGCTAAGGGCTGTACAGTCTCTTTACTGTGACTGTAATGCCTGTGTGCGCGTAGGGCATGACCTGTCACCCATGTTTAACGTCCAAACGGGCGTAAAGCAGGGTTGTGTCATGTCTTCCTGGCTGTTCATACTGTATCTCGACAGCTGTTTACAGAAGCTGAAAGATAGCTGTTTGGGTGTGAAATTGGGTGACATAAAAGTAAATTGTCTGCTGTATGCTGATGATGCAGTGCTTATTGCACCATCAGAGGCAGAACTGTAGGCATTAGTCACGTGTATGAAAGAGGAATGTGAAATTAAAGGTCTCCGTTTGAATGCTAATAAAACTAAGGTTCTGGTATTTGAAAGGGACGAAGAGAGAACGAAGTGTGAAATATGGGTAAATCAGGAATGTCTAGAACAGGTAAATGAAATTGTATACTTGGGGAGTGCTTTTAGCCGGGATGGAAGATGTGTTTAGATGTGGACAGGCGTGTCGCTGCCGGGAACAAAGTCAATGGTGCCCTGACTGCGTTAGTCAAAAGGCAAGGCGTAGCGAAGAGTGCACGCCTTGCAATACATAACGCAGTGTTGGTACCGACTTTGTTATATGGCAGCGAAACCTGGGTATGCCAGAAGAAGCATAAAAGTAAGTTGAATGCAGTGGAGATGCGATCTCTTCGTAAAATGTGCGGCGTTACCATGGCCGACCGAAAGCGAAACGAAGAGATTCGCAATATGGCAGGTTTGAAAGATGAACTTATCACAAAAATTGATAAGGGCGTGCTTCGGTGGTTTGGGCACGTTGAGCGAATGAGTGAAGACCGAATGGTGAAGAAAATATATAGCGCGAAAGTTAATATTAAAAGGTGTCGAGGTAGACCGAGACTAACTTTCGAAGACCATGTGAGCAAATTGCTCGAAGAGGGTAGGGTCAAGAGTACTCGGATACCTAGACGTGCATGTATGAAGAAGATAATGAATCTGAAAGAAGCGAAAGAGATATGTAAGGATCGTGACACTTGGCGATCTGTTCTCTCTGGCTACCCCGTCAGGGATTGTGCGTGAAGATAAGTAAGTAAGTAAGTAATGAGAAAACAATTTTCCTTAAAAATTATCAAGTCATTAAATTACTAACAAGCTTCTGTAATACTTCTTGCTTCTGACATTCGATAATATACCGTCATTATCCGAAACAAATAACTCAATATAACACTTAGAAGCCCTCGCGCAGTTACCGCTCTATTATGATTGATCGACGCATTCATTGAGTTAACCACAGATAATAATTAGCCAACTAAATGGGATTATTCTCGTATAATATATTATTTACTTGCTTATTACACACATGAAGGGTTTTGTGATACACTTTTTCTTATAGAATAAGGGTATGAAACAAGCACACAGTCCACCTGATGGTATGTGAATACGATAGCCTATTGACATCTAAATTTATCCTCGATTAGGAATCAAAATGCAGATGCATGTTTACCCCTAAGGACTGCCTCGTATCCAGTAAAAAGTGTCTCCGGTTCTACACTCACCATACAAAACATAGAAGTATTAAGCCGCTATTTTACGCTGGTGTTATTTGAGAGCTTGGTTCTTCCATTGACCGAAGCAAAGTAGAGAAGAAGATATGCAACTTGTCTTCACGATTGTGTCTTTTAGTCAGGCAGTTTTCTTTACACGTTTATTTTTTCTCTTTATTATGTTTACCAACAATTGCTAACACTAACACATGGTGTGTTACATTACATATTACATAACATTGTTAGTTACATTAATAAAATTACTTAAAGTATTAACAAAAAAGTGCTACAATTACTTAAAAGGTAAACTCCGCATGCATAAAACCTCATACATCTCAAACTGAAAGCAATAAATTGATCCTCAACTATCATAAAAAATATATCCATTAGTCAGAACATTGCTACATAAATTAATAAATAAAATTATTTATTCGACGGTGGAAAGGAAAAACCCTTGAAGCGACAATTTTGAAATTGTACAGTAGAGCCGATCAAAGTTTTAATTTTCCGAAAAAAAATTATAAAAAATTAAAATTTGAAGTTAGAGCGACAAGATAAAAAACAGTTTCTTTATTTTTTAGTTACTGTCTACTATTAAACTTAGAAAAATATGCTAGCATGATGAAAGGATTTATGTGTCGCTTAATTATTTTTTGGCAAATAAAGCGGAAGGAAAAACACATTAAATGCCAATTCAGTACTTTGACAAACGCTAGGAAAATCACATGAAGTGACAAGCTATACATGATATAACTAGGAGGGAAAACAACTTAAGCGTATAGAGCATTAGATACATGGTTGTGGAAAAACGAATTAACTAACAAAACCTTAATATGCTAAGTAGAGGAAAAACACGATATGCACTAGCTATGTCATAATTCAATGTTGTATTTTTAACTCAAGTACCTACTTTGTTTCCCAATGATACCAAAAAAAAAAGGAATATAGAGATAAAACAGTGCCTTTTATTGTTTTAAACGCTTACTGGTACAACATTTTACACTGAAAAACCCCATTCCAATGGGAAAACAAACATGAAGTGAAGTGTAAGTACATTACTATCTTCATGAGTGATCAAACAATATTATAAACAAGGATCACAGTGTACCGCTTCTGTATTGCAAACATACATTGATCTTATAAACCTAACTTTCACTATTAGAGACTTTAACAGCCATAAATTCTGTATCAAAATATTTCAAATTACTACCTATTTCAGTCTTGTCTCAGTCAACGTTGCTAGCACTAAGTATACCTAAGTAAAATTGTGAAAACAAAACAATTAGGCATTTGTTTCCGTATTGCAAACGTACTTTGAACTTATAAACCCAACTTTCGAAAATAGAGATTTTAACAAATATAAATTCTGTATCAAAATATTTCTAATCACTATTAGGCACCTATTTCAGTTTAATAACTTAATCAACATTGTTAGCACTATAAGTAAAATCAAAAAAAACAAGCATAATTAAATGGTTAATAGGAACATTAAAATCACATACTCATACTATCAAATTTAAGGTTCGATGTTGCTTCTTGTACTATAAATCAATAGCATCCTCAATATCTGTTTCTGTTAACGTATCAATACCAACGACGTGAGGTATAATAACACATTCGTTGTGAAACAGTCTTGGTATGGCAAAACTCTCACAAAGTTTTATCAAATATTCATATTAACAGTAACTGGGTAAAGAGTTCTCGTAAAACTGTTTCACAATTTGTGAAGTTGGAGCTTTGTTTATAGATATAATTTCTTCTTCAGCATCAGGTAACATAAAGTATTTAACTGCCGTCACGTTGAGATTTGAATTTTATGAACGGCGGCCAGTACAATTCTATTTTTGTTTTGACCAGGGCAGGAATCCGAATACAGTATTAGATGTTTTACTGTGCCACATTCTTCCATCATTTGTGTGTATTTTTGGATAATAGAACTTATTTCATTGCCTCCTCTCTTACCATCAGATTCTTCCCATATGTAACAGAAACCGTCTCTTGTACCATTTTCATAAAAGCAAACACTGTACATGGCATATTTTCGTAAATAGTACAAGAGCATACTCTCACCATGTGGAGTATTTAAAACCTTTTGCAGGTCGAATGACACACATACCACATCATTGCGCTTTTGGGCGAGTTCTCGATGTTGACTGTACCTCTCTTTACTGGTTTCTTTTTCTTTCAGATGTTCCTCTTTCTGCGTTTTACTCTCTTCAGTATTTAAAGCATCAAATTTCATACATTTTATGCATTAATCCTTTTTGGGAACGCGAAATCCGATATTAAATCCACTCTTGAAAATATTTAAAAAGACTTTCTCACTGACCACGTCGACACATTCTAAAGTTTTCTGATCCTTGTAAATGCGATATAATTTTTTTTGGTTTTTAAATTCAACGGGTAAGTAAAGTTCCTTGAAGGTCCCTAATTCGTATCGGTCGGGAAAAATCGCTGATGGTAATCGATTCCACAAGGAAGACGTCCGAGGAAGAAAACATCTTCTAAATCGCACAGTGGTGGACCGCCAATCATCCAGATAGTGTGGATGGTATCGGGAGTTCTGCCGCGATGTGCGTTTGTGAAATTTGGCGGCTGGGATTAATCCGAACAATTCCTCAGAGCACTCCCCGTGGTAGATGCGAAAGAAAATGCAAAGGGATGCAGCATCTCTTCGCAGTGCCAATGAATCGAGCCGATCGGAAAGGACTCGGTCGTCGACGATTCGGGCCGCTCTGCGCTGGATGTGGTCAAGTGAAAGGAGCTGGCACTGGGGAGCCCCTGCCCAGAGATGGGAACAGTATTTTCTACGTGGTAGAGCCATGCTGCAGCTATATTATGGTTGTAGCACGAATGGATCGGCTCGACCGGGGAAGGACCACGCTCTCACAGAAAACCAGCGTAAAATAGCAGCTTAACGCTGCTGTGTTTCGTATGGTGAGTGTAGAGAACCGGACACCCTTTTTACTGACAAAGAGGCATTCCATCTTAGTCCTCACGGGTGACAACGCATCTACATTTTGAGTCTTTATTGAGGATAGATGTAGATGTCTATGGGTCACAGTAACCACTTACCATCAGGTGGACTGTGTGCTCGTTTGTCACCCGATCCTATAAAAAAAAAGTATTCCATGTGAGGCCGAACCTGCGCCTTGTAAAGTTGCAGGCGGTGTGCCAGCATGTAATATTGTCCCGCTCTGCTGAGCACACCAAGCTTTTTAGAGGCCGATTTTGGCCTTCTCTTCCAAGTGACCACGAAACTGCACGTCACTCCATATGTCGACTCCGAGGATTCCGATACTGGCTGACGTAAGAAGGGGAGTGCCTTGAAACTGAAAACACGAAAATTTACGTATTTACAGGTACTTACCTTTACTAAACCACGCATTCTCTGTAACTGCTGTTCGCGATGCGACGAAACGTGCTGTGCCTCGACGGCAGTTCACCGATGAATGAAGCGCCACGTCACAATCATTTCCTAATATAGGTGACGTCACTTACACAAAAGAGACCGAAATTCATTGCTTGTAGCGACAAGACTTGTTTTGAATAGTTAACTTAAATACACAATATCGTAAACAATGCTTACTTTAACCGACTATCGTCTTCATTTATGAAGTTAGCGAAATTAAATGAACCGACGTTTCGGGAATAAAAGACAATGTCGGTTAATTTGAATATTTATGTGGTTCTTATGTGTGTGTTTACTTTTACCGACAACACTGCTTTTTAAAGCGATTGCCAAAACAACTGAAATCCGTAATAATCTATAATAATAATGTAGGAAAAACACATTAACTCCATCATACAGATATAAGGTAAGCAAGGAAAAACGAATGTAGCGACTGAGCACCAACGGAATAGGAGTAAGCAAAAACACATGTAGTGTTTAAAGTAACATTTCCTATGACGGATAAAAACGATTTAAGTAACCTATAATATCCGAAACAAAAAAGGAAAAACACATTAAATAATAATCTAAGTATGGAGTCGGTACTTCAAGCGGTAAATGGACCAAAATTGCTTTAATTATTTGTCACTTCATTTAGCGTCTAAAAAAATTGAGCCTAAATGTGTCATTACTTTAAGCGACACCAAAGTGGTCGGATCACCACGAAACTAAGACCAATCGACGCAGAAAAATTCGCTGATTTCAAATATGTATATAACTCATTTTCAACCAAAGTGTCGCTTCAAGTGTTTTTCCTTTCCACCGTCGTATTTATCTATTTTTTGTTTAATATTAATGATGTTAATGTTAATGAAATGTTACGAGTAATGATCTATTTATGTTTTCACCGCCGAGCTAGTGGTAAAGCAGCACTTAAAATTGCAATGAACAAAAAGAAACAAAAAGTGTCGAATGCTGACTGTAATAGAACTTTGCTTGCGAGGGAAAATTTCAAGGCGAGCCGTTATTCCCTGGGCTACTACGGCCCTATTTATAGTGCGAAAATCCTCATAGATACCTTTCGGTGCAGGGGCAATGAAAAGTTAATGCCAGATTTCTATCAGCTAAAACCCACGTTGGTCACCATTAGCGTATACAATTATCAACAATTTTTGCAATAGCGTCTCCATTCTCTAATCGGAAATCCCAAGATCCTTGGTACACTGATCCTCGTGGTGCAGTGTTACCATGGCCCTTAGTTGAGTAATCGCAGCTTTTTTCTAAACTCCATAGTTCTTTTGTATTTATTTTTATATACCATATATGGAATTAGGCGTTGTGGGGGCCTACTCTGGCCGTAATTGAGAAAGGGTACATCTTTCGCGAGACAAGATATTCATGCCGAGGAGGCCAACGGTACGTACGGTTACGTAGTATAGAAGATGTCTTACATTATAAATATATTATAAGCTATAGGCTCCTACATCGTTCATCTATTACACCCTATTTTTTCCTCAAAAATAGTCATATTATATTCGATTTGGTAAAATATGTGCAATATAGTTTTGCTAATATGTGCAGTTTGAACAACACAGTAGGAATTTTCATTAACAAATATCTCACATATTTGATACCCGAGTGAACCAGACGGCTGAATATAATCCGTCTAATGTAACACTGCAGTTAATATTTGCCGTGACAGAGCAAACATCGATACCAAATTACCACAAGCCCAAGGAATTACGTAATTAATTATCAAAACCGAATTGTATACAATAAAACGCATTAAAGGGATTTGTAGTAAATTAAATCAAATTAATCCGTTATTTTTTATAGAATAAGGGTGACAAAGGAGCACACAGTCAACCTGATGGTAGACGGTCGCTGAAGCCCATAGACATATTCATTTACCTTCGATCATGAATCAAAATGCTGATGCGTTGTCACCCGTGAGGACTAAGATGGAATGCCTCATTTCCAGTAAAAAGGGTCTCCGGTTCTCTACAGTCACAAATACAGCAGCATTTAAGATGCTATTTTACGCTGGTATTCTATGAAAGCGTGGTCCTATCCCGACCGATTCGATCGATTCATGCTACAACTATAATATAGATGCAGTGTAGCTCTACCACGTGTATTATCAGACCACTCGTAATATCTTGCATGCAGCGTAAGTGCGATCCCAAATCTCCCAAAGGTTAAAATCAAAATTCAAATTCATTTAAAGTCAAAATTATAATTAGGGATATGAATGCAAAGGTGGGAAGAGAAAGTATATACCGACCAACGATAGGCTCCCACAGCCTACACGAAACATCTAACGACAATAGCACACGTCTCATTGATTTGGCAACTTCCCTAGGAATGGTCGTCGGCAGCACACGCTTTCCACACAAGAATATCCATAAGATAACGTGGGTCTCCGCGGATAACGTCACCCGAAACCAAATAGACCATCTTTTGATAGACAGGAGACAGTGCTCTAATCTTTTGGATGTCAGAAGCCGTAGAGGAGCAAACATCGACTCCGATCACCATCTTGTTGTATGCAAAATAAGAGCACGAATATCACGGTACAAGTACACCAAAACGGTAAGAACAAAAAAGATTGACACAACAAGGCTGAAGAGAGAGCAGGATGTCAAATACAAATATATAGACACAGTTCACAGAGAACTTATGAAAGTGGGCGAAAGAAATAGCAACAGCATTGGCGATCCTGATAGCACCTGGCGGAATCATAAAGGGGTTTTATCTACGGCTGCTAGTGAGATTTTGGGATTTGAGGAAAAACCGAAGCGTAACGACTGGTTTGATGATGAATGTCAGAAGATCACTAATGAGAAAAATGATGCGTACAGATTAATGCAACAGAAGTACACTCGCGGGCGTGGAGAAGAGTATAAGAAGCGAAGAATACGAGAAAAACACCTACATAAGAGAAAGAAAAGATTGTACGAAGAAAAACAATTGCGTGAGAATGCATCTAGTTACACACAAAAGGAAACTAGAAACTTCTACAACCAAGTAAATGGGGGACGGAAAGTATTCAAACCCAGAACCACGGCATGTAGAAGTAAGAATGGACAGCTACTTAATGATAAAGATGAGATCGTTCAAAGATGGGCTGAATACTTTCGTGAATTCCTTAACAGTTCAGTGCAGACTCGTCCACTTTCTGTACCAGTACCTGAAGCTCTACTAAAGAATCAAGAGACTGATGAATCTTTGTACCCCACTATAGAAGATACTATACGAGCCATTCAATCCATTAAAAATAACAAATCTCCGGGAATGGACGATATCCAAGGCGAACTTATAAAGTATGCCGGAACTGGTTTCGAGAAAGAGTTTCACCACCTGGTGCTCCAAATTTGGAACAATGAAAAAATGCCTGATGATTGGAATACATCTGTTATCTGTCCCTTACATAAGAAAGGCGACATATTGGATTGCAATAATTACCGAGGCATATCTCTCTTGAACACCGGTTATAAAGTTTTTGCCAATATGCTTTTTAATAAACTAAAGCCATAATATGTAGAATCCAGCTTGGGAGAGTATCAGTGTGGGTTCCATCCAAACAGGTCCACAGTAAACCAAATCTTCTCGCTTAGGCAGATCCTTGAAAAAACGTTTGAGTACAACGAGAATACTCACCACCTTTTCGTAGACTTTAAGGCTGCCTATGACAATGTGCACAGAAGTTTCCTGTACCAGGCTATGATGGAGATTGGCATCCCAACAAAGCTCGTGCGCCTGACGGAAATGACTCTTAGAAACTCTCAGAGCGTTGTTAGAGTTCAAACAAATATATCAGAGCCCTTCAGAACCAATGACGGCTTAAGACAAGGGGATGCGCTCTCGTGCCTACTGTTCAACATCGCTCTCGAAAAGTGTATTCGCGACTCAAAGATCGAGACCAAAGGCACTATCTATCACAAATCTGTTCAAATTCTAGAATATGCGGATGACCTCGACGTGATAGGAAGATCTCTACCTGCAATGGAGAGTGCATACCTTGCTCTTGAAAAATCAGCTGCGGAGGCTGGTCTCTAACTTAACATGGCTAAGACTAACTACCTGAAAGCGTCAAAAGACCAGCAAATTCTACTACAAGGAGTTAATATTGGCAACAACACCTTCGCTTGCGTCAATTATTTCGTATATCTGGGATCCTTAGTAACCGATAACAACGATGTGTCTTCAGAAATAAGTAGGCGAATAATGGCGGCTAACAAGTGCTACTTCGGACTACTAAGATACTTACGTTCGAAACTTCTTTCAAGAAGCATAAAACTTCTCTTGTACAAAACCTTACTAAGACCCATACTCACCTACGGTTCTGAATGTTGGGTGCTGAGCAAAAAAGACGAAAACTCCTTGTTGGTATTTGAGCGGAAAATACTAAGACGCATTTTCGGAGCTGTGATGGAAAATGAGAGATGGCGAACGCGTTATAACCACGAGCTATACCAAATGTACGATGAGCCAAACGTAATTAAGACCATAAAGATCGGACGCCTGCATTGGGCAGGGCACGTGTTGCGAGTGGACGAGGCCAAAGTACCCAAACGCCTTTTAGAAGGCCAACCGGAGGGCCGCAGAAGTCGAGGCAGGCCCAAGCTCAGATGGTTGGACGGCGTCGAACAAGATATCAAGATCTTGGAAATAACAAGTTGGAGAAGGAAAGCTTCTAACAGATCGGACTGGAGAACTTTGCTGGACCCGGCTAAGGCCCACCCGCGGCTTTAATGCCTCAGATGATGATGATAATGTTGTAATATACCAGTCAAGCCGACCCATTGGTATGACAATCCTTTGTTTAGTTTATCTATTACAAAATTACCAGCAGTAGTCCAAAGTTAGCAGGTTGGTGGTGAGCCACTAACCCTAAACCTCGTCACTCCCATGCCCCCAAAGCAAGTTAAGCCGCTGTTCCTGCACCAGATCTCTCTCCGCTCGTGTTTGATTGCCTTTCTATCAGACTATGACTGGAGTGAGCGATTAGAGTACACCTGTGTTTAAGCACACACTCGTGCACTATGGACCTGTCCTACACAGATGGCTTGTCTTCATTGAGACCGGCCTTCGTGACCGAAATTCGGTCGGGACCACATTATACCAACGCAACCAGCAAAGAACATCTCACATAATAATAGCGTAAAAATTATTATATGATAATAATATAATAAAAAGTAATGATAATAAAAAGTATATATGATTTCAACGGGAACACAGACCCCCAAAAAATGTACGCGTATCACACCAACTACTTACAATCTTCTTCTTCTTTTTTTTTAAAAAAACGTTACCCCCACTAGGATTTTCTCCTGTGTCGTGGAGGCAGTTTATACAAACATAAATTACACAAGGACAAACATCCAGACCCGGAACAATTATTTGTGGGCCATACAAGTACTTGTTCCGTGCGGGATTCGAACCCGCGGCCCCCAGCGCTACAACTGATTGCTAAGCCACTGCGCCACGGAGCCGTCGATCTGTCAGTGTGTTCGTTAGCTAGTTTGTCAATCTTACTTGTACTTTTTTTTAATACTTTTTGTTTTTCTTTTCTTCAACGTTATCTACACAATACGTATTTTATCCTTCATAGTAGAGGCGTTTTACATACATAAATTGCAAACGAGGCAGTCAGTGAATGCAACGTTAAAACTGCAAAAGCGAGCGGACCAACCACAAACTAAAGACTCCACTCACAATTTTAGCAAAAAATAAACAGAAGAGTATATTCTACTGAATAATAACGGCGTGGAGAACGGAATCGAGTTTTCTTAGAATTTCTAGTTTATTCAAAAAATCTGTCGTCAACAATGAAACGAGGAACTCACACTTACCACGCAAGAACCGTGAAATCCTGTTTGATGTCTCACGTGTATTGTGTGTGCAAACTTTATTAATATTTTAACGCATTCTCTTGTGTACGCTTCAATCTCCGGGAAAAGAGCGGGCGTGTGTTTTACATCAAAACAACGCGAAGGAGCCAAGATATTGAGCAAACAGAGTTTGCCCTCGGGCAACGAATAAGATAATTTAGTATGACATAATGCGAAATTTGTTTTTGAGAGCAAATGGTCATGCATTTAAATTACTATGTTATTTTTCTCATTTCAGGACGTGTGAAGTTCGCAAAACTACAATGGAATAGCGCGAATGTGGATGATAGAACTGTCATCAGCGCGATGATTTTTCTAAAACGGGAATAAGTTGTATTCCGTAATGATATACACACATATATAATATGTATGTATATACATCTATGTATACATTTATATATAGATAGATCTATTATGTATCACATCTAATAGTGGTAGAGCTACGCGGCAGCTTTTACTGTCGCACGGATGGGCCGGCTCGAACCGGGGTAGTACCACGACCTCACAGAATACCAGCGTGAAGGTTTACCTCTGCGATTCGCTTGGTTAGTGCAGGTGGCCGGAGGCCCTTTTTACTGGAAATGAGGCATCCCTCTTAGTCCTCATGGGTGATAACGAATCCGCATTTTGATTTGTAATAGAGGATAGGTGTACATGTCTATGGGCCGCAGCAACCACTTACCATCAGATGGACAGTGTGCTCGTTTGTCACCCTTATCCTATAAAAAAAACAGTCCTATGTGACGCAGATATAATTCGCTATGTAAATATATTTACACATTTTTTTATTAAGGGTTTTTGTAAAACTCTTTTATTGTAAATATGATATCTTCTACCGTGATGTTTTCATATTTAATTGTACAGTGTATTATATTGCAAAATAATATTTTAAGAAAATACAAATGTTTTTATCTGAACTTGTGTTAAAGCCATAAATAATTTTCACTGAGTTTTCTTCTCATCTATACTCAAGAAATAAAATTTTAATATAAAATTTACTAAAAGCACATTTATTTTGAATAAAATAGCTGTTTAGAGATCACTAAAATATAATTTTATTGATTTCTCACTTTTTTTCTAACGCAAGATAAGGTAATTACGAAATAGACTAATAGAAATTAAGCTCCATTACATTTCTATTCAAAGCCAGCAATATTAGTAATAAAATATTGAAAATTATTCGTGTTATTCGAATAAATAGAATAATAAAATGATATGATAAGTAACAATCATAATCGCATATCACTATTTTAATGTATGACAATCTTATAGTCGAAGTTTTATGACTACTAAATTACAAAAAATAACAAATGATTACTACTCGTAAATTACAAAAGAACACAACAAAAGTGCTTCTTGAGCATTCCAGAGCCCTCAAGGTCTATTTCAGTTCAATTTTCATACAAACTAGCACTAAACCTGATGTAAGTTTAGGGCTTATATTTGGGTTTTAGCGACACATAAACGAGTGGTTGCTCAAAGGACACTGACACGTATAATATATTCGGTTATTCCATCACCGCAGTTTTCCGCAATATCATAAAATGTAACCGACCGCAACATAAATAACGCTCGTCGCCTCATTTTCGTCAAGGGAAGGTCTCCTTAGTAAAGGTCAATTATCTAGCGTCAAGATTAAATTTGTTCAACGCGAAATTAATTATTAATATCAAAACATTACTTACAATGTAATAAATTAGTTCAATTACTCAAGTTTGCGTTTCACAGCGACTCTAATAATCTGTTCTGCCTTTTGCAATTAATCGCACAGGTAATTTCAGTACGAGACACGTACGAAATTAGAAGCACGTTTCATTTTGTTCGTGGAAGACTTTTTTTGTATTTGCATGCATTATTGAGGATAATAAAACTGGCTGGTCGAAATAATAAAAAACAAACTTTAGTGTTTTTCCCATATTTGTTTTTAAAAGCGTTTTTATTTCTAATTTCGACATCACGTAAAATTTGCTATCTCTCCGGTTGTGTCAGGTTGCCATCTCATCAGACTTCGACAATGAGGGAATATAGAGTGCAACAGCTCTTTTAAATCCTGCCCTGATGGTGAGTGTGATGAAATGGAGAACTTTTTTAATGGAAACTAGGCATTTCATCTTGGTCCTCAAGGGTGACAATGCATTTTAATTCTTAATAGAGGGTAGATGTAGATACAAATGGGCCACAACATTCACTTAACATCAGGCTGACTGTATTCTCGCTTGTCACTCTTACTCTAAATAAAAATCTTTTGGGCGGTGAGCAGCAACGTCACATGCGAGTTTAGTACTGCCAAATCCTCATTACAATGTGAGAGGCCTATTCACGATTCGTATGTAAAACAGATCAATATAGTGTTTTAATTTTATTTGTTAACAATAGATGTCGCTAGTAGTAGATTACAACGCGATATGGTTCGGTGTATATTAATTGCATAAGGTGTCTTATGTGCCTTACAAGAAAAGTGATCGATGATGGATATTAGAAGAAAGTACTACATAAACCAAACCAAGAGAAGATATCTGTTGGTTTTATTTGAAAGTACCAATACCAATATCAATAGGTATTTAGCCCGCTACGTACGACCATATTTAAGGCCCATGTCCAAACTTTCAAAGGACGGTGAAGAAGAAAACGATTAAAAGTTAA